GCAGCACAGGGAGAAGGGAAAGCAACGGTGGAAGGTTTCCCGATACGAAGTGCCCCACCAACGCCGAGGTCAACATCCAAGCCGTTTCCGCCCACCCGAGGATGCAAGGGGGGAATTAAGTCACCCCCAAAAAGACAGCCTAGCCGTTTTTTGGGGGGGGGGTAAAAAAAAATGCCCGGCCTTATTTTGTGAGAAACACGGTAGTATGCTCCTTATATTCAATTCATTCATTGAAGTCTTAAAATACCCTGGTGTGAGATAATACAACCCAAGGTTTCTATCATAGCTGTGCCTATGCTGATGCTGCATTTGGAAGCCCCTGAAGCCACCAAAGGCAGAGCCACCAGAATCTGGAAGCTAATTAGGGATAATTTTCATCCTGTTTTCAAACTGGGTACTTTTAAGGGTAGAAATAAAAGCACAAGGATTTCATTCATATTCCTAATTTCTCCCAAATTAAGCAAAACAGGGTCAACAAGTAATTATTGCCCTTGTATCACTAATAAAATTTGTGCAGCTAAGAAGTTAAAGTGTAGCTCAGGACAGAAGAACTGACATGTCCACAAATTGTGAAATACAGTATTAATATGTTTACTGACAAACTACATGTAGAACTAAATATGTCAGTATCGGAAGCCCACTATTTGTGAAATAAGTAATTCTGAGGTTCTCTCAAATATGAATCTAGTAATCTCTTGAGGTCGAGGAAGAAATAAAACATGTCCACCCCCAACATTAAAAAAGTGACAACCTAGTGAAACTTAAAACCAATTGTTTAAATTCCAAAACAGTGTCAGGATTGGCTTGGAGAATAAAAAAAAACACAGATGTATTATGAAGTAAATTTTTAAATGCTAATTCATGAAACTTTATACTACATAATGTTTATAATAAGGTAACACAACATACATTCTCAGAATTAAATGTTAGTCAGTTTGGACTCGTAGTTAAGATACAAGGCTAGAAACCAGGAGTTCCATAGGCCTGCCTTATCCATGAGAGCCAGCTGGGTGACCTTGGGCCAGCCATTCTCTCAGCCCAATTCACTTCACGGTGGTTGTTGCAGGGAAAATAGGAGAAGGAAAGTGTGTTGGATATATCCTCCGCATTGAGTTACTTATAAAAAATAATAAAGACGGTACAAATAAAATAAACATATTGATTCATAATTTTGATTCCGGTGACCCTGCAAAATGTATAGTCTCAAAATTCTTTATTCACCATGGAAAATAGAGCTTAATCCATGTTAAGTCTTTGCACTGAAGGCTCTTATTTCACTGCCATCTTCCTTTCATTAAAAGAAATTTATTAACTTTTTTCAGCTGAAGATACAGAACTATAACTAGATTGGAGAAGTCATTGTAATGAATGGATGAACTTAGTGGGATGAAACTCAGTCTGTAGTCAATAAGACAAAAGAAAAGGTTACACACACCGACCAAATTCAGCACAGGCAATGCAGTATGGATGCAAGCTAGTCATAATCACTGGTGATTATATATTAAGCATCCTTATGGCTTGAAAATGGGAGGCTATGACTGCTAATCCCACTTTAGGTATGAAACCAGCTGGGTGACCTTGGACCAGTCACTTACTACTAACTCTTTTCCCTAGGAAGACAATTGCAAGCCACTTCTGCATACATTGCCAAGCAAACTGCAGATTTGTCCAGATAGTCACCAGAATTAAACAATGACTCAAATCAATGGCATGCACACAAATATCGTAACTTTTTTCTCTGAGAACTCAAGGTAGCATTTATGAATGGGGTCTTTCCCAACACTGCTATGATCTAATAAGTAAGAGGGGCTGAAAGCATGATTGGCCAAAATTTATCAAGAGAACTTTATAACTGAATGGGATTTGAATGTAACTAGCTCAAGCACAACACCTTACCTTTCTACTCCAGTAATTGTTTTAATTATATACAGCAGTACAGATGAGGTTGGAAAAATTAGAGTGGAGTGTTGGTCAAAATGGGTGACTAGAATTGCCAAGATCCAAGTTTAACTTAACCAGGGAGGTTACTGACTGACTTTCAGCCTGCCTTCTTCCTCCTCAACCCCTATGCCCAGCCTTGACCTACTAGCTAAAGTCATCATCCAGCAGGACGATCTGTACTGTACAATATAAGCATTCCTGCCCATGTTTCAAGTCCTATTGGGGAAATAATACAGCATGGTTCTCCCTTTGCTCTTTACTTACTTGATCCAGGTCTGGTGAGTACCACCATGACAATGGTGAATCCAAGAGAAACCAGGTGTGCGGCTGCACCAAAGACAGTCCTGAGAGAGTGGTAAATCTGAGATTCCGTTTCAACTGCCAGAGCCATGTCTTCTGGATTATGAATAAGACGTTGGCCTTCCACTGTCCACGAATTATTGTTCTTCTATGTTTACGTGCAAAACCTATCAAGTGTCCCAGAACATCAAAGTGAGGGAAAATTCAATCACTACTGTTTTAAACAAAAAAATTCTGCTTCAGGTTCCTCATGCTTCTGTCAATTATCCTGTGTGATAAATGTAAAGAGATATTAAGAAAAGAAGGAGCAAAATAAAAACATCTGGAAAACCCAAGAATAGTCTTTAGTCTTCAACTATAATCAAAGAAAATTCTAGGCTGTCAAAGCAGAGTCTTATTTCCAACAAGGATTTGCCATCAAAACCTGGGATTCTGCCAGAAAGGAAACTAAATTTTAGATATTGTAGGTTCTTAATGTAATGTCATATCATAAAATGTTATAATTCCAATTATTTAATCTCATTTCTCCCTCTTTTTCCTGTTCTCATTTTATGTGCATAAAGCATAGGCTGACTTTTGAAGGTTGGACGGAATTTTTTGTTGTGGTGGGGGAAAAGGTCTTCTAAACCTTTAATATAAGGTGGGCTTCAGATTAAAAGAGGCTTTTGTTCCCTCCAGGAATCAAACTGACTAAACACAAAGCACTCAAACTAAAGCTACATGCCTGAAGGAAACCTAACTACACATGAATGCTGATTTAGCTCCATTGTTTAGGTTCAGGAGGAGATGGTATATTGCAATATGCAAGAATAGCAAGCTTCTGCAATCATTTTCAACTGACATTCAGATGTATGGGAAGCTCCCCTGACAGGGATTGGTAATAAATCACAAGACAATGCAAACAAGCAAAAGAAAGGAACCACACAGCCATGGTTGATTTATGAACCCCAATAGGCTTCCTTGTGATTAATTTAACCATAGTTTAATTTTAAAAAATCCAATGTCAACAAATCACAGTTAGCTAAAATATGGATGGCAACTTTATGGTTCAGCAAGGGTCATGTGAACATAGCCATTAAACACTTTTGTTGCATGTGTGGGAAGCAAAATATCCACCTCTTCAAACTGAACCGAGCAGTCATGCAGGCCTGCAGATCTTCCTTTCTGGGGCTTTTCAAAACAAATGTTGTGCAGCACCCTTTTCTATGAATCATGAACCAGAAAAATTCATCCTATACTTCTAGTATAATAATGCACATTTCACTGCCAGTACACTATCAGAGCTTTTCCTATAGAAGTCTAAAAAATTAAAACATCACTGTTTTGTTTCACTAGGAAATTATGATTTCTTGAAGAACAGCCTGCATTCAATTACATTCAACCTTTACCACCAAGTGTCTGTGGAAATGCATCTCAATTATATGCTATGAATATACTTGAATATGTGTCGTTAAGGAACACAGCAGGGCTCATGTTCACAGTTATAATGCTGCCCATCTTCACTCCTCTGAGCAGCATAGAAGTAGATGGCAAACATTTGAAACTCTGAAAAATAACATTTCAAGACAAAACTCTTGAAAAATTGTTGACACAAGCACTAATAGAAAACACCAGTGGGTTTTTTAATTTGTATGCACTATATACAGCTTGCAATCTGTTCACCCAATTTTTATTGGTCAAGATTATATAAATATATAAACATAGAAATATTTTTCCTCTGTTCATTTTTACTGTTAAATGATGGTAATTTGCCCAAGGCTATCACCCTGAGATCTATTCTGACATTTCAGAATCCATTGTTTAAATTATTTGCCCCTGAAGGAATAGGCAAGCAACTTAAATATATAATCAAAAGTGCATGAGTTTCTTACAAATGTTCATAGTGGAAACTCACTGCTGAAAATTACAGTTCTATATATCCTGTAACAGTTAAGGCTATTTTGGAAACATAAATTTATAATATGCAAATTCAATTTGCCACAAATTTGCTTTACCTATGGGGATGTTGTAATAAATGAAAACATCCTGAGTGGAGAATTAAACTCCAAGCTTTGTAAGAAGGTGCATCTATAGAGATACAACCTTAATTAAATAAAACGATGGGATCAAAAAGAAATGAGACTGGAACCAAGAAATTTGGCTGATCTTAAGGCAGGTTGACCCTACCAGTAGGCTTTCATATCATACCTTGTTCAGGTATGCCTAAACAAATAAAACATAGTTTAATGCACTAGCTTATTGGCTGAGTCCCTATAAGATGCTGAACCACAAATAACACAGCCCTCTTTTAGCCTAGGCTGTTCTCTGTAATACAGTATTAAGGCAAAGAGACAGACGCCATAGATTTCCTTTCCTTTATTTCAGTGGCAAGGCAAAGCTCCCCCTTGAGCATTTTGAAAAAGAAGCCGAGGGCAGCCTGCATTTCGATTCTGCACCGCGTATCTTAGGGGCACAATCGAAAGTGGAAGTGGCAGCTAAAAGGAAGAAAGGAAACACGAGAAGCTAGGCTGTCTAAAGAAACACACACCTCTCAGGACTCCGTCCAAAACGATGAGGCAGTTTCGTGAATCATTTCCGCCTCACCTGGTTTGACAGCACCAGGACACGCATCCTCTTCGGATAAAGCAGCCGTGCCCACCCTACACCTTTCATTGCAACTGGCATAGGCGGTAAGGTCTGTAGTACAAGAGGTGTGGAGCGATGCCTCCACCAATCAAGGACTACACCTAGGTTTTTCTTTTTGCCAGAATGAGCGTTGAGCTCCAGGGCTGCTGTTCCACAAAAAGCATCCCAAGCCCTGGAAACCCCAGGCAGGGCAGAGCCCATCCCCTTCGGCAGATCTGCCCTAATCCGCCCACAAGGCTTTGAGAAAAGCACCCCTCTCCCAGCTCCAATCCAACCGCCTTGGGGGTGGGGGGGAGATTCTCACCTCCGCCGAGAACAGCAGCATCGCAAAAGGAGCATCAACTCCGGTGGAAGCCAAGGAAGTACCCCATGCCTTTTGATTGGGCGAGTCCACTCAGCTTGTCATACGCTCCTCCTACCCTGGCGGGCCGGTCTCTGCGCCTGAGAGGCTGAGCCGCGCTGCCCATCATCGGGGGGAAATCCTCTGGAAGACAGCTAACTGCGCGACACGCGACGGGCATTGCACGTTCGTAATTCCCATTCCGGGACTTCGCTTTGGTGCAGTACGGTTACCGGCGGGCGAGGTCGGGGGAGCACGTTTGCGAGCGGAGACCTGCAGGAAGGTTGTCTTTTTCTCCAAGGGCCACCAAGACGCAGGCGCTGTGAGATCGCTCCCCCCGCCCACCAAGCTCTTTCGCTCGCCCAGTTGGAGTTAGCCTTGCACATGCGTGCTTCGGCCGTGCTCTTCCGGTAGGTGCAGAGCCTGTGGGTTGGTCTTGGCTACCTGAGAGAGAGAGAGTGAAGGCTCCCAATTCTTCTCTCCATAGGCACACTATTCTGGCGAGGATTTTAGGAGTTTACGCAACCCCCAAGTCTAGGTAACTTTCTACCTAGTTCAGGGGACTGGGCATTAAATAGGCCATTCTTGAGCAATAATAATATCCTGTAACGTCATAGGCAGTTTGATTATTGATTAAAGGCAAGAATAGCGTTTGATCTGTAAGTTTCTTCCACCAAGGCATTTCCGCCAGCTCTTAAAAAAAACCAAAAACGCTCTCTGCCAGAATTGTGGGAATTTGTTATATTTAAAGAAATGCGGAATGTCTTGTAATTAATGAACTAAAGCAGTGATTTTTCAAATTTGTCAATTTAAGATGCACGGGCTTCAACTCCCGAAATTTGGGAGAGTTGCAGTCCACACATTTTAAAGTTGCCAAGTCTGAAAACCATTGAATATATTGATGGGCTATGGTAGGTAGATTAATCTCCAAGCACCATAGTTTATAAATTTATGCATGCATAAATGGGAAAATATAGGGCACCTGTTTTCAGCCAACTTAGAAGATTGCTAAGAAGAATGGCCAGTATAAAGCCATTCTCAGAGTGGGTAGATATATACCAACTGCTATTATGGGATATTGTCCTGCCCTCTTGGAAAATATGGACCTTTGGAAATAGAAGGGCTATTTGTAGGTACTCTATAGTATAGCATTTCTATGTTGTCAATGGGAGAGAGAGAATGCTAGGGGCTGTCTTCTATGTTGTTAAAATGACAGTTTTGAATTGCATTTCACAAAATTCACTGATTACTCCCTCTGGCTCTTTTTGACTACTGGTGATTCAGATCTTGACAGTTTGATCTGTGAGTCATTTAATCTTCAATGAACAAGAATAATTCAGCAGAGTTCTGGTTTGTACAAGATTGTATATAAATCACAGATGACTCACATCCTGATTTCTTAGTTACATGCACTGGTAAGTGAATTCACTCAGTGTGATAGTTGTGCTTGATAAGTGATAAGATAAAATTATGCAGAATGTAAGCTTAGTACTTAGGTTACATACATATTCAGGGCAGGAGATAAGATTACAGAAATATGAGTTAACCTATTAAGTGACAGCTCTACTTTTGTGGAATTTGTTCCATATAAAAATAGGGCAAGTTCTTCCAACTGCTACTCAAGCCAGTTGAGTTCCCTGCAGCATCACAGATGCTGGATGTGACCATGGGTCTGCTCCATTCTTCTTTTTGTGGTAATTGAGACTGGGATTTCTGTCACTAAGTGAAATATCATGTGACAGCATTGCTTAGCAAATGACAATCCTGGCATTCTCTGCCGCCCCCTTTAAGCAAGCATTGTGGGTCACTAAGCGAATCCCTATCTGGTTTGAAGTTGGCTTCCAAGGAATACATGTTGCTATTGCACTGCCATCCATATTATACAGCATCTCTCCTGGCTGAGCTGCTGGATTTCATTACTAAGCCGGTGATTGAGACCCTGAGGCTACTAGTTCTTGAGACATCAGTTTATCAGCTAGTGATGTGTTTTTTTTCCTGTGTCTAGATCAAACTTTAGACTGCCAGAATGAAGTCACCTTGGTTTTGTTGTTGGGCAAAAATAAGTCATTATCAGTATATGTTTCTGAGAGTAGCTAACATACTAGCAGATGGGGTAGGCTGTGCGTTTCTCTGTATTCACACAGCATGTTGTTATCTGCTAAAAGCCTCTACTTAAGCATCTTGATCTTACACCTAGACACTCCAGCCCTCCACCTATGCAGGGTTTTCCAAATAGTATAACGGAGATACGGTTTTGTTCTTGTGTACCCTGAAGAATGTTTGTTCTTACCATAAAGCTTTTCCTAGATGTGAGTCAGCAGGCTTGGGGCATATGTCCATTCAGAGAAAGTTGAGCTGGTGATATTGAGTCTGAGGCAACTCAGGAGTTTATGGCCACCATGATAACCGCAGACCTGTCCTAAGTCGTCATGATCATCGTGCATAACAGTTCACACTAGATCTAGATTTTTTCTTGGGGCAGATGAGATATAATCTGGTTCTAGAGGGCGTTATTAGTCCATTGCTGCGGTCAGATTACTTTCTGAGTTGTTTTTTTTTTTTTTGGTTCACCGGTGCCCACCTACCTGTAGAACCTGTTAGATCAGCCTGCCTCAGATGACTATTGGACCTGTGCGATTAACAGTGTTGTCTTCTAGGATTCAGAAGGTAGGCAAACTCTGTTGCAATGCCTGCGCCTTTTGGAACAATATCTCCCTAGAGATTCATGCAACTCCCACATTTATGATGTTTAGCAAATTTCAGGCCTTGGGTAGAGTGATTCTTTCAGGCCTTGGGTAGAATGGTTTTGGAGTTTTCTTTAGTTAAGTTTGGTTATAGCTAAGTGTTTTGTCCTTCCAGTTGGCCATGATTTCTTTTTTCTTTAATTGTAAGCCACACAGAGTCATCAGAGAGTCAGATAGCCTTGAAATTGGATTAAAGAAAACAAGAGTGATACTTCAAAAAATTTTTCCCACACGTAGCTATAGATTCATTTCTGTGTATTTCATCTTTTTCAGTTACATCCATGGAAATCAGCAGCAAAATTGAGTGTATATTTTTCAGTGAATTCCACCCAACACTGGGGCCTAAAATAACGTATCAGGTCAGTTGTGCAAAAGCTACCTGTCTCATTTGTTATTTTCTGCTCTCAGTTGTCCAAGATTTTAGATTTGCTCTTTACTATTCTTGACTGGAGTTGAAGCCAAGACCTAGGAAAACATAGTGCTGGGATGCCTTTCATTAAGTGTATCAAAGCTTCTTATTTTGCATCTGCTTGTCTGTTTTTAATTTCTGATTGCATATTTTGTTTTTGCAGTGGTGGATAAAATGTTTTTTCACCTTTGTTTGAAAAACACGACGCCATAGCTTAAAAATAGTGTAGCCCTAAAAGTTAAAGTCATTATTTATTGATTTGTTTGTCTATTAATTATTTACAGCTCTGTCTTGTTCCTGCAGGTACCAGAGGATTTTATTTCCCGAGAGTTGTTTGATACAGTGCAAGTATATATCATCACCAAACCCGAACTCCAAAATAAGCTTATCACAGTGTGAGTATTAGGCAGGAGCACTGTAAGAAAAGGCTTACTTGTTGAAGAAATACAATTGCTCAGTATGTTGGGTACTGGAAAGTTAATTGTTTTCTCTCTTTTCTCTCCCCTGCTCCACAAAAATCCAGTACAGCTATGGAAAAAAAGCTCATTGGTTGCCCAGTTTGCATTGAACATAAGAAATACACCCGGAATGCCTTGCACTTCAACCTTGGCTTCGTTTGTGATGCTAGAGCTAAGACCTGTGCATTGGAACCGATTGTGAAGAAATTGGCAGGTTACCTTACTACTTTGGAGGTTAGAAATAGCCTAAAAATGGACCCTTCATTTCTGCTGTCATATGTGTATAGATTTTTTATTATATTATATTATACTTTATTTCCACTCATCCCATAAATACAACTCTGGGCAGCTAACAACACATTAAAAACATCAAAAAAGCAATATTAATCTGGGTAAAAAACAACAGTGAATGCCAGTGATAAATCCAGACAAAAGTATCATCAAAATCCTCTCAGTGCAGCTTCTATTCTCCCAACCTCCAGACTCTGTAGCATATTCCAGGTCTTCAGTGCTTTTATAAAATGCCAGCAGGGTTAGGGCAGTCTAACCTTTGGGATATGGTCTTCCAAGCACACAGTAAGCAGTGTGACAAAAAGGCAACGTGGAAGCACCCTGTCTTCACTCTTCGTTTTTTTTCTCTAATGCTTAGGTAAATGTAAGGGTTCCCCCACATATACATACTAGTTGTTTCCGGCTCTAGGGCAGTGCTTGTCTCTGCTTCTAAGCTGAAGAGCCAGCACTATCCAAAGATGTCTCTGTGGTCATGTGGCTGGCATGAGTAAACACCAAAGGTGCACGAAGCGCTGTTACTTTCCCACCAAAGTAGTCCCTATTTTTTTACTTGAATTTTTTATGTGCTTTCGAACTGCTAGGTTGGCAAAGCTGGGACAAGTAATGGGAGCTCACTCCATTACACAGCGCTAGGGATTCAAACTGCTGATGAATGTTCCAAAGGTGCTTTTTCAGGAGGGAATTGGACTTTGTTTTTTCTTTTGAAGACGTTTCGCTTCTCATCCAAGAAGCTTCTTCAGCTCTGACAGAATAGTGGAAAATAGAAAGATTTATATTCCTTGCAGACAGCTGGTAATTTTGCATCTTTTTAGAGGGCTGTTGAAGCACTTGGAGGTTTATATGTGACCTCAGAGTCACCTGGTTCCTGTAGTCTGCAATTTGTTTTTTCTGGAAATCCATTCCTGCTCTCACGCCATTCAAAGGGTGTTCATCCCAAATTGTATAGCTAAAGGTCTGTAGAGATTCTCAGTCATCCAGGTCATGGTTGTCCCAAAGGTGCTTTTTCAGGAGACAACTGAACTTTCTTGTTTTTCTTTCAAAGACATTTCGCTTCTCATCCAAGAAGTTTCTTCAGCTCTGACAGAATAATGGGGAATGGAAAGATTTATATTCCTTGCAGACAGCTGGTCGTTTGCATTCTTTTAGAGGGTCCTTTTAGACACCTGATGAACT